CACGGCTCCTTCACACACGCCTGTGTTGCGGGCTGGCCTACCTAACCTCAGGCAGGGGCCTGGGGTCCTCCGGTTTTCAGAAACCCACCATCACTACTCATGTGTTCTCACAGGCTACAAAAGTGTCAAGTATTGTGGACAAATTATATGTGATATCCTGTGATCTCCATGTTTCATTTTAAATGATGGTAAATTATTCTGTGGAAATAATATTACTTTCCAGCCTTTTGTTTGTTATAATCAAATCTGTTTTTGTCATATTTTTACAAGAATAAATAAATAAGAATAAATACATAATACTTTCACCTGCACAGTTTTCTAGAATATTTTAAGGAGAGTTAACTCTATGCCGCCTAATGTAAAGCAATGCTGCAGTGACAACTTTCTCTTTCGTCATATAAATAAATATTCATGCATCTGTAATATTTCTGAATACAAGAATGTGAAGTTTGGTAGGAAAATGTAAGATTAGCAGTGTTACTGTAAGTTCTCCACCCAGAACCTAGAGGTAGATTTAGTTTTGAGGCAAGTTACTTCACCTCAGACCAGGTTCTTGTCCTCACGCTGTGATTGGTTAGCCCAACTTGGAAAGCCAATCGAAGTCCTTAAAACCTCTGAGGTTAGAGGCCTTGCCTCACAAGAAAAGATGGTGAAAAGGGTTTTTATGTTTGATACAAAATATTACAATTACCTGAGAGTTTTATTGTTTACTAATACTTCAGCACTATTGAAATATCAAAAGAAAATTGTATAAGCAAAGATTAAATTGAAGTATACCTTAGATCAAATCACAACTTTCGAACTAGATTCTCAAGAGCGTTGACAATGCATTGCTCAAAGTTTTGACACAGGCATTCAAATACAAAGCTGTTTACTTTAATTGATAATAGGAACAGGCAGAGATTTTCTAAAAGTTGATCTTTTGCCATGACATTGCACAAAATTAACAAGTGTTTTATTTATTATAACTATTTAAGGTATACTGCTGTTAAAACTTGGTTCAGTTGCTACATTTTCACATACATTTAAATAATAGATTTTACACATCACATGGAGTTTCACACATGAAGAATACAACACAGACATAAACAGACAGCGATTTATGTTGCCGACTCTACACACTTCTTCACAAACAAACAGTAAGAGTAACACGAAAAAGAATTTGAAGTAATAATAGTTGCAGTATTGCTAAACACAGAAATTTTTAGGTATTGAATAGTTACTTCAATTCTGAAGTTTGGCATCTTTAAGGTAATCTTTGACTAGCTTTCAAAATTTATTGATTTTTGTTTTGTTTTTGAGTTGGTAAAGGAGACCATTTGTTTTGGCCACATTAAATTTTAAGTTTAGCTTGCTTAGGAAAGAAATAACATTATGAATATATACTCTGCCTTGTTAGTAAGTTATGTATGGTACATTAAGAAAAAATAAAATATAATAGGCATTAAATAAAAATAATATTTGAAGCACATCAACGCTTGAATGATTTCAATCAATTTCATTCAAGTTGGCAATTGGAATGAAGAAAACACTACCTAAAAGTGGCGCTTTTACCACAGGAGCACGAACCTCACTGATCTTCAGAAAGTGAAGCAAACCAACATCTCCTTGATGCACTTCACAAATCTGCTTGGCAATGGGAAATAGTGGAGTTGGTCTTTGTACCATTTCATGTTCCGTGACAAGCAAACCATACACATCTTCTCCTTCTTCAGTCTTGAATGACAAAATGTCTCTGATTGTGCAAAATGTATTCTGGAAAGTAAACACAGTAGAATCATCAGATTTTGATTCTGCCTTTACGTAGTCTGAAGTGGTAAAAGTTACTCCTTTAATTATCATCTTTTGGTACACTTGTAGCTGCGTAGTTTGGTAACCTTCCTGATACAAAACCCTCAATTCTTCTTCAGTTGGTGGTCGTACTGAACTCCTTCCAAGAAAGTAGGAACGTTCAGCTACTTGCAAAGCGTTAGAATGCCTGCGTTTGTGAAGAATTTGCTTCATCATATCCTTTATTTCTGGGGCAATACGTTGATCATCATTTGTTGCAAGCTCTATGCTGAAATTTATAAGATGTCTGTTGACAATCTGGTGGATGGCTCCTTTGGGAGAAGTAATAGTTTGCATAATTCGATGATTCAGACTTTCGAAGTTAAATGTAGAGTAAGCCCAGAAAGGCCCCCAGTTCCGTACTGACACATGGGCATGCTGGAGAGCATGAATATTTAACCTGGATTTTTCAGGCCCAAATTCATCATAGCCTTTAAGGTAATTTGTTATCAAATCTTTAGCACAATTGATATGATTTGGAGCGATGATGTCTTGGGAAAGGAGATAAGTGGCATATGAGAGACACTCCAGAGTTTGAATAAATCTACCTGCTACCAACCCATGCAAGCAGATTGGAGCGAAATACAATAGCCAGTTGCGCCACTCAGTGCCATGCATCTGACTTCGATTTTTCATCAGACAGGTACCTGGTTTTCTAGCTATACAGCTAGGTGTCTTGATATTTTTTAAACGTAAGTCAATGGTGTCAAGGAATGCCTTCTCACCCATCCTAGGTATAAGTTTTGGAAGGTCTTTTATGATTATTTCAGTGTGGTACTTTGCTGCACATTCATATGTGTTATGTAGATCATCAAAAGCATTTCCCTTACTTAAATCAAAGTACTTCAATTTCATAAGAGGTGTAAAGCCTTTGTGTCCATTGACTGAAACATTCTTTTCCCCTCTATTTACCATCTCTTGAGCAACTTTCATGTCTCGTTTCATATCATCATGAGTACGATCTTTGTATGGAGGCAGATCTTGATGTTGCTTGGGGTAACGCATTGTGTCCAGGCTCACACCAAAATAGGTGCAATAAGTGCATCCAAAGTGCGAGTTGTGTTTAGCCATATTGTAACATTGGGCTCGTGCCTTGCCATCCACACACATGCAGGTAGGTATGAACTTGCTCAGAACCAACTCACCATTTCTTGTCCATGAAATACCCCTCACAGCAATTGTGTTCATTTCTTTCACAAAGGGATGAAGTAGTGCAGTAACATTCGGTTCCTTGACATCAACATAGCAAACAGCCAAAAACATGTATTTTTGACGCAGCTGGGGTGGCAATTCATTGATTCTCAAGAACAGAGGGTAGATATTGGTCTTCGACCCTTTACTAGGTTTGCAGCCATCAATACTGAATGAATAGGTAAAATTATTGGAATTAACTAAATTTTGTCCATCTATTTGAATACTCTTGTAAGATTCTCCATCAAGAATGTCTTCTAGGGCATCTTCAGAAACTTTCACGCGTTCTTCTCTGTATCTGAGATGACTGGCAACTTCAGGGATTGACAAGAAATATTGAAGTTGTTTCCGAATACTCAATGTAACAAAGTAGCTTGCTTTTGAAATGGGTTTGGTAGTATTACAATCAGGACATACAGCATTCTGTACAAGATTGCTTTTCTTATCTATATAAGCACCACAGTTAGGACAGTATGCATGAAATTGTACTCCTGAATTGCTTCTCCCCAGAGCCATCCACAGCTCTTTTTTGGAAGTGGGGAACGTTTTGGAACCATATAAAGCATTTTTAGCTTTAAATGAGTCAATTAAATTTTCATAGGTCTGATGGTGGCGGATAGAAAGAGCAATTTCAAGAAAAAAACTATCTCTCACAGTTCTTGCTTGTGAGAAGCCTATCTCACGATCTAATAACTCATGATTGAAGTTGAAGTTGTCAATATCTATGTCATCTTCGTCATCATCAGAGTCACTAAGATTTTCATCAATAATGAAATCCTCCTCCTCTTCATTAAATGGATCATAAGTATTATTGTCATTACCATCTTCATCAAAGCTTTCATTTCCTACTGCACTCCAATCTGATTCAGCTTCTGAACGGGTGTCTGAGCCAGACATACTGACCTATAAACAAGATGTATGAAAAGTTAGTAGTTGTACATAGTTAAAAAAAAAATCATTTACTTGTACAGATTTTACAACTAGGTGTTTGAAAAAGATAGGTACAAATACTTCAACCTAATTTATTAGGTTCTAGAGAGTAAAACGTACACTGTCACTTTCACTTTGGTAAGGCTCTTCATCACAACCTTGATCGACGCCAGATGCCCTATGGTCATCTTCAGTATCCTGATCACACAGAAATGAAAACAAAACAAAATAATTAGTTGAAAATAATATAATTTGAGAATCAGAATATTGCAGAGTTGTCACTAAGTTGCCATAAGGAAATATACTGGCTTCAACCTGGAAATTTTTAAAAATAAAACAACTTACATCAAAACTACCACTTTGATGTCGATCTTGATTAGAACCATGTTCATCAGCCGGATCTTGAGCTTCTTGATCATCCTGAAATAAATGTTTAATTAGAAAATATTGTAATTAATGTGGGAAATGCTCAGTTTAGACTAGCATTGGTTATCATATGTTGGACAAGTTCTGATTGGAAATCAGGCAATCAGAGGCCTCAAAAATCCAATAGAATATATCCAACTAATGAAAATTGATGCCAGTCTGAACCTTACAATTCACTTGGTGAATCAAACAATAATGTTGCAGAGATGACTCTAAGGTAAAGTTCCAATATATAGAACAGAACTGAGATGCAACTCATTTCCATCACAGGAGATTTTGAAATTTAGATGGTTTAATTTATTTACCTCGGAAGATTGCCTGTCTGCTGCTTCTTGGTTACTAGGATAAGAAGGTCTTCTTCTTTTGGGGCCATGGCGTCGGTATTGTGTGGCCCGGCTTCTATCAGCATCCTCATCGGATGACATGTTTGGCTGAGCTTTTCGGAACAATTAAAACAGTCCTTAATAATCTTACCACTCTAATCAACTGCAACTATGTAGGCTCCTGAATAACAAGCAGGCCCGCCCTTCCGCCAAACGGAGTTGCCAGCTCCACTTCGCTGCGCCGGCAACTCCGTTCGGCAGGGGCCGGGCCTGCTTGGCCTGCCGGCGGCGATGGTCGGGCCTTCGGCCCGACCATTTAAGTCTCGCGATTTACTGAAGTGCATCATCAAATAAATAATGTGACCGGTAAATCACTTTGCATATTTGAGCTAAAATAAAGCGTCCTGTGGGGGGCCTGCGGCCCTACAAATTTGCTCCTTGGACATGACAAAAGACTGTAACGGGGCAACACCGTGACTACACCCCACCCTTCTGCTTTGCTTACGAAATACTAGGTAGATGTACGCCAGACCACGTCTCGCGTAACAGGCTTCGCGATATCTCACGAAACACTGTTACGCTGCGACGCGCCTGGCATACATCTACCTAGGCCTGCGGCGCTGACACCCGAGTCGGGTAGTGCCAAAATGTACACAAGGATACGGGCCTCCGGCCCGTCACTTTGACTAAGCAAGCAGGGTTGTACATTTTTTCGTTTATTTTCGTCAAAAACACCCTCTAGCGCCTCAACGGTTTGAGCTAGAGCAAAACGGAGAAAATTTTCGCCTAAAGGGCTCTACTTTGATAAGTTACCCCTTAGGAGACTGTGAAAAAAATATTTTTAAAAAACATTATTTGTGGGACCTATGGTTTTTGATTTTTTAAAAATCCAATTTTTTGAGCTAGAATGCTCTTCTTCGAACTCGATCTGTCTTTTTATGATACAAAACGACCCTGAAAATCCCAGGTCGCTAGCTCAATTCGTTCTCGAGTTATCGTGCGCACAGACAGACAGACACACACATAGACAGACAGACAGACGCGAAACTTTTTGATCGTCACTGGAGTAATAGGCTTCGCTATCGCTCAGCCAAATTAACCCACGCAGTTTCTAGATTGTATATTGTTTGTCAAACAGTCTTAAAACTTGACTTTTTGCCATTGTTTTCAATATATCCACCTCTAAGGCCAAAACAGTGAAAGATACGGCAAATCCGAGGGGAGTTTCTGATTCAGAATGTGTTGTTTTGGGGGGGCACTCCCTCTGACATTTTACGATTGGACGCCTCCTTGTACGTCTTTATGTGGAATGTGGTCATTTTGGCCGTATTTTCGTCGAAAAAAGCACTCTAGCGCCCAAACGGTGCAAGATAGAGTCGAACGGACAAAATTTTCGCCCACAGGGCTCTACTTTTACGAGTTACCCCTTAGGAGACCATAAAAAAAATATTTTTTTCCTACTTTTTAGACCAACCCCTATTTCTTTATTACCCCCTTTCACCCCCCTAGGGATGGTTGCCAGGATTTGCACCAGGCATTTCGTTGCCCAGGAGTGACCCCTAAGGTACCCTGAAATTTTCAGACCTCTAGCTCATCTCCTTCCTCTTACACGGACGACGGACGGACAGACAGACAGACAGACACGAGAGCGGTTGCATAAGGGGCCATCCATTAAGTACGTCCGCGTTTTTTGGCCATAAATTGGACCCCCCCTCCCCCATGTCCATGAATGTCCGTTTTCGTCGAACCC